GTTGAACCTCTTCTGCCCACCATATGCTAAATGCTGTTGTCTGCGCGCAGTGCTAGACACTTTCCTGAGGTTTCTCTTTAGTTGCAAGACATACTGAGTTGCGTTATCCACTAAGGGTTTTTTACAAGGGAGAAAAGTGCCGGAAGGGACTCTCATTTTAAGACCCGTGGGCATCTTAAATACTCGTTCTGGATATAGATCCCAATCCTCGGTCTGCACTCCTTTGGTAGGGGTTTAATAAGTTGACAAAAGTACAAGTTGTCCCCTCTACTTGCTCATTCCTCTGACGGTGACCCGGCGTCGTACACGTTTTGCGGGTTTCATAGGCTTTGCATAGCTCTTTGAAGAGACGGCATTCAAAGTTCGCCCCTTGGTCGCTATGTACGGAATCAGGCACACCAAGTTAGCAGATCCAGGGATTGAAGAATGCGGTTGCTACTGTTTCAGCATCCTGTACCTGTAATAGTTCGGCTTCCGTGACCTTGGTAAAATAGTCTACTATCACAAAAATATGACGGTTCCCTCTTGGGGGCGTAGGAAGCGGACCTATGATATCTATGCCTACTTGCCCCTGGAAAGCCCATGGACATCGGCTGTAGAGGGGCTACCGTGGTGCCAGTCAGGTTCTTGAAGCTGGTACACGTGACGCACGCGCAACAAAAATCAGAGACATCAGATGTCAGCGAGGGCCACCAATGCCTCTTCCTTCCGGCTTTAAGCATCTTCCTGTCCCTTACATGGCAAAGTTGTCCATGCAATTCCAACAGGGATATCAGCATCAAGGAACCTGGTACTTTGAGGCGTTTAGGACCTGCAGCATTGTCTTTGTACCCCATGACGTCGCCCTCTAGAGAGTTTCTCTTCCATTCTGCCATATTTACTTGGCTCTCTAGCTCGCCGAGCTCATCTCCTCAACTCTGGGCTTGGCCGAGGATGTCCTTAGTCTCCCATAAACTTAAGCTGTATCGGATTCAGAGCTCTGCGTGTTTCTTCAGTGATAGGAAGTGGACTCATTCAATAACAGCGCACCTACTGTGTCGGTATCCGTGGTCGGGGATAAGGACCTCTGTGACAAAGCGTCTGCATTGCCGTGAGAGCTTCCCTTCCTATATTGCACGATAGATTCATATTGCTGGAGTTCTTCGTACCACTTCGCAAAGGAGTGGTAGATCTTCTATATCGTCTTCAACCATGTCAGTGCTTGATGATCTGCCCTCACAAGGAAATGCTTTCCTACCAAGTAGTGTTTAAAATGCCCAACCATTGTATAAATGGCGAAGAGTTCCCGTTCCGTTGCACTCTTCTGTTTATTCTTTTTGCTTAGACGTGAGTTGGCATACGCCATCACATGTTCTCGCCCATCTTTGTCTTTTTGGGATAGAAATCCACCCACCGCCAAATCGCTTGCGTCTGTGTCCAGCACAAAATGAGGAACCTCGCATTGAAGTTTCGTATAGTCAAGATCGGTGCCGTGCAGAGATCGCGCTTCAACTCCTTAAAGGGTTCTGAGTATTCGTTTTTCCAACGGAACCTCTTTTTTGCTTGTTTCTCAGTCAACTTGTATAGAGGACTTGCGGTCTTGGCGAAGTCTTTTAGGAAACGCCGCTAAAAGTTAGTCAAACCAAGGAAATTGTGAAGTTTCGTCTGATTTGTAGATGTTGTCCAAGTTCTCACCTGTCTTATTCGGTCTTCTGTGACCGCCATGCCATCTGCAGAAATTTTGTGCCCCAGAAAGGTGACCGAGTTTTGGAGAAAACTGCATTTCTTCGGATTCAGCGTCAGACCTGCTTCCCGAAGGCGATCTAACATTAATTGGAGGTTGGAGTTATGTTGTTTGATGTCTCTCCTGAAAACGAGAACGTCATCCAGATGGATACTGCAGTGTCTCGGGAAGAGACTGCGCAACGCCATCTGTATAAGTTACTGGAAGGTGGCCGCTGCGTTACAAAGCCCAGAGGATCTAGTTTGAGACCCTGATTGAAGCTTCTCCTAATATAAATGTTTCTTGTCCTTCTGCAGAATATGGTATAGTAGCGGGCGTAGCGATACGGACCTTGCCACAAACCATCGGGAAGGCTTATGGGTTTAGCAACGAACGAGCCACCCCTGAATCTAGAAGAAAATTGTATGTGCAGCCTTTCATTTTGCCCCGTACTCGCATAAAAATAAGGGAGAAAGAAAACAGTGGCTTACTTTGTGTTGGGGCACCGCTTGGAAACGCACACCTTTGCCTGCCGAAAGTTTTCCGTCCGCGGAAGAAAACGGGTGTTGAACTCTGTTGAGAATTGCAGCTCCTGACGCTTTGCGACTGCCATGCAAATAAGACTACTCTGCTCCTTTTCATCTATACTAGTTGTTCTGCCACGGCGGGTGGATGTATACCTCTCTTTAACTGGGCTGCTATCCATGAGGCAACCCAGAGGGGATACCAATCCTTGAACGCCTGTTTGGCTAGTAACTTTAGTCTCTCTGTGAAATCCTCATCACTCTATTTAGATGTTTGGAAACACTGGAAAAGTCTGGAGCCAAAAAACTGGTCCTTCCGTAGGGAAATCAGTTCGACGAGGAGCTCAGAGCATTCTTCTAAGACTGAGGAGAGAGTGATACTCGCGTCCATTGCTTCGCGGCGTAGATGGTACTATTAGGCGCGAAGTGGCAATGGAACTCTCCGTGCAGGATCATAAAGCTCGAGATCGCCTTTATAAAATATAGGCCAGTTATCGAGAATTCATGTCTTCTCTAAAGGAGGATGTCGATCGGCGCTGCCTACCCCCGGTCCTCTGAACCTCGGCTTTCAGGAGAGGGTTAGTTGAGGGAACCTTATTCCGCATCGTGTAGAGAAAGGAAGGAAATGGAGGAGGATTAATGAGACGGAAATCCGATGTCAACCTGGGAAGGAATCTTCACAATAATTACCATCGAATTGACTGCCTGTCATGCCCATAGTTAACTAAACAAAGTAGTATGTGTCGTTTAGAATTGCGTATCAAGTCTTTTTTACTAATAAATTCCTTCATAAGTCACATGGCTTGGTAAAAGTAGTATGTTTACTTATCTCCTGGGCAAACATTGTTGCGGTGCCTCGTGTGATGCCTTGTTAATTTGACCACCTGTAAGATGGGCGGGAACTTTGGTATTTATCTTGCTTTCGTACATGTGGGCTAGTCTTTAGGCCAAGTCAAAGCACGATTTCCCCCTTTCAACATTGAATACATGTTAACAGCTCCATTTGGTGCTTTCTTCTTCCTAGTAGAATGTCTCGGGACGCTAAACCTCAGATTTAGTAAGTGGATATGGTGTGGCAAAATTATACCTAGTATTAAGTAAAGATGGGTCCAATGGCTCGGCTCGAAGGCCATGTCACCCACCAGAAGTGTATCCTATTATAATTTGCGGCTTTAACAAATCAAGTGAGTAGTTGCCCAAACTATATAAGCATTGTAACTTATTTTGCTTTCTCGGTGAGCCTTGACTACTATTCGCCCGGAAATGGCAAGACTACAACAGTTAGGTGAACGAACGGGCCTTTGATGTCTTACAACAAAGGGTTCAATGCGGTTTTTTACTCTTCACCTAGCTTAGTTGCCTTGTAGAAGTACAATGACGGCTTCCGAGAGAACCGAGAGAGAAGTCAAACGTACAATACCGTACTTTGTAATGAGTTAAAATAAAAATCATTGTACCAAGGTGTGATGCCAAGGTGTGATTTGCAAGTCTACGAAAGATGGGCATTATAATTGAGCAAGAAGGAGTCGCAAACAATCTTTTCTTTTTATTCAAG